ACTGGGGCAAGTCATAAAGTATTAATTATAGCTAGCATTTATTTAGTGCTTACTTTGGGCCAAGCACAAAATGCCCCATACTTTACATGAATTAATTCTCACAGTCACCTAAGAAGGAAGTAATAATATAATCCCCACTTTACAGGTGAGACAACTGAGTCACAGAGATGTTTAGGAACCTCCCTAACATTTGCTCAGCTAGTCAAGTATCAAAAGGAATTTTAACTCAGAATTCTGACTCTGGAGCCCTGACAACAATCATTAATTATAAACAAAGAGGAGATTGATTATTTTTAAAGAGGGTCAGTAAAGTAGGTGGTATTTAAGCTGGGTCTTAAAGCATGAAGATTTTAACAAGCAGATGTAGAAAATTGGTGAGAAAATTGAGTGAATAAGGCAAAAAGGCTGGAAGATGTAAGTGGTAAGGTTTGGCTAAAGTGCTGACGATTAATAATCTTGCAGCTCATTTGGCTGACCCTGAAATTTTTTTTTTTTTAAGATTTTTATTGGGGAATTGGGGGATGGGAGCAGCGCTGGGAAATTGGGGGAAGGGGAACAGACAAGTTGCGGTCGTTTTGTTCTTCAGTCTAGTTGTGGAAGACGTCGCTTCACTGGCCCAAGCTGGCACCATCATTGCGCTCTTCCCAGATGAGGCAGATCAGTCGCCGGCTTCTGGACGGCCGCTCACAGCGGCTGCGGGCCACTCATGCTGGCTGCTGGCTGCACATGGTAGCCCATGGCAACCCACTGCAGCAGGGGCTGCAGCCTAAGCCAGCCGACAGCAGCGCCTCAGGGCAGTTCAGCTCCAGGTTGAGCTGTTGTTCAGCATCTTAGCTGTGGAGGGCAGTGTCACTAGCCCTCATATGTGGGATCCGAACCGGGGCCCTCTGGCATCCCATGCCAGTTCTTAACCATCGCACCACTCGGCCGGCCCTGACCCTGAAATTTTAAAAAAGATAGATTTGCAGGTAATTTCTTTGAAGATTCTGACTCAGTGGGTCAGCAAGTTGGGCCTATGGCCTGGGAACATCCTTTCAACAAGCTCTTCAGATGATTCTGATGTGCAAAAAGGTATGAGAGCCAGTGTGGTAGAAAATAAAAGGGTCCAACATGGAATGACAAAGATATTTGGACTTTGTTAGCCAATAAGATTTCCCTGAAGTTTTTTGCTTTAATTAAAATTTTATAATTTCAGAAAATGTAATGCATTCGTACAAAATTCAAGAGGCCGCCAGAGGGGAATTCAGTCACCTTTCTACCTCTCACCCCTTAAGTTCCAGTTCCTCTTAGTCATTCTAGATTTTTAAGATGAGAAATCACATCATGAGATCCGTGCATGGGGAAAATGAACCAGACAGAAATACCTAAGATGAGCTATATTGGAGGGAAGGATGATCTCAGACTGGTAATAATGGTTATGCCTTTGCCCTGAGTATTCCTATTCTATAGAGACAATTCTTCTGGATACAATCCCCTTGAAGTGATCTATGAAAATTAGATTTGAACAAAGCTTGGATTCAGACTAGGTCCTACTCAGTGCAAATTATGAAGACACTGACACAGTGTGAGGAAAGAGTGAAGACAGAGAATATACAAAATGGAGTCACTCTGACAGAGTTGCTAAAATGAACACTATAAAGGTTGAGGCATGAGGAAACAATTCTATTCTTGTTCTAACTAGCCTTGGAACTTAAACTTTTAAACTTTCCAGTCCTGCGCCAATGCCTGGATATACATCAGTTCATTGTGTGTCAATACTTGGACACACACCAGACCTCCAGATAACCCTGATTACCCATTGAACAACTCATATATCCAGACCACTTGACATCCATCTCACATTTACTTTCCAGACCAATGGAAGTGACCAGACTTCCTGGTGCCCATCATCTAGACCACCTGGCATCCATCATCAAGATTGCCTGACAGCTGACTGATAATCATCCTGAACCAATTCTAGGGCTAAGAATGAAAGGCTGATTATTCTCAAGAATGTATTTTTAACAATAGGAACTCTTTTCCTTCTTCTTTGGAACACTTACATGTTTTTGCCTACCTGTGTTCCCAGTTTGCAAATTCAAGGCCCTTGAATAAATCTTTATCATTTATTTCTAGCAAAGCCTCCAGACTCTTTTTGATTTTGTTCGACAAGTGGCTGATCATACAAAATGAGAATACTCTATAACCATGCTGTTCTTCTTTATCCTTGATAGCCCACTTTAAAATTTACTATGAACTTTCCAAAGTAGGTATATTTACGAGAAACTGAAAAATCAGTAATTGGCATTTCTAATCAAGTGCTGGAATTATTTGGAAAGGTTGACCCTGAGAGGCAGGTGATTTGTCTCAAGAACTCAAGCTTCTTTTGGAATCCTTTACTATGGGTAGGCAGAATTATGTCCCCCCTGAAGAGGTCCACATCCTAATCCCTGGAACCTGTGAATATGTTAGGTTACATGGCAAAGGAGATTTAAGGCTGCAGATGGAATGAAGCTTGCTAATCAGCTGATTTTGAGATGGGGAAATTATCCTGGATCATCAGGGTGGGTCCAATGTAAGCACGAGGGTTCTTATAAGTGAAAAACGAAGGCAAGAGAGACTCAGAGAGATGGCAGCATGAGGACTCAACCAGCAGTTGCTGGCTTTAAAGGTGTAGGAAAGGGCGATGAGCCAAGGACTGTGGGTGGCCTCTAGAAGCTGGAAAAGGCAAGGAAAAGCACTGTTCCCTGGAGATGACCCCTTGATTTTAATTAACGCAGTGAGACACGTAACAGACTTTCAACATATAGAACTGTTAGATAATAAATTTGTGTTGTTTTAAGCTAAGTTTGTCATAGTTATAGCAGCAGTAGGAAACTAGTGTGTCTTGACTGCTATCTCCTGCCCTCTCCCTTCAGGTCCCAGGTACTGTCTCCTGTTCTCCAAAAGGGCAAATACTCTTCTCCTGCTCTGAAGGGTTCTATATGACGTTTACATCTTAGTACATGTCGGTTTACCACTCATACTTTCATTTTAAGCCCTTTAAAGGTCTAATAGTTCCATTAAAAGAATGCGTACTTTGTTAAAGATACTCAGGAATAAACAAGCAGGTGGAGAACAGTTTGGGGAATAATCACAATCTTCTCTCCACTTGTAGCTAAAAATCTATTCATCACATGGTCAACCTTGAACACAATGAGTGGTACGATTATTCAGGGTTTAGAAATCCTGTCTTCCTTCTTGTCTTCCCTTCTAATGACTTTTTTTTTTTTTTGGTGAGCTAAAATGATCTGTATTGATTACTTACGGTTAAATATTCTGTGCCATCCCTCTCCAACTACACATACAAAAAGGATGGGTTAATGTAGTTTGGTAATGTTCCTCATTAAGAAATTAATTTTTATAAGGTGGAGACAGGCATCAGCTGTTACACTGGAAGGAGGAACTTCAGAATACTGCCAAAGTCAAAAAGGGGACGTGAACTTACCAGGCCTTTATTCTCTTATCTCTGATAATATGCATTACAGCTGGAAGTTGCTTGAGTTGGCCAAATCAAGCACTGAAGAGTTCAAGATTTTTCTCCTGCTCTACTGGGAGATTCTAATATTTCACAAAACTTCTTTTCTCAACCTATACTAAGCTGATACATGTTTTTTCTTTTCTCAGCAATTTTTCAAGTAGTGTCCTGGACAGCGGTTTCCAGCGTGTTGCATTCCTGAGTACTGTAAGTTGGGTGAGAGATTGTTTGAATTTCGTTTTTCCTGAATGTAAAAAGGCTTATTTTTATGCTAAAAGCCCTGCCTTTCTGAGGGCCTCCTCCGCCTTTCAATTACTTAGTATCTTCTGAGTACATTTAAATGGTTCCTAGTTTACAAGAGGTGACTGCTTTACAGGGCAGAAACGTTTCCGGGTTTCCAGTTGGATGAAAACTAAGCTCTCTTCCCTTAAAGGCAGGGGTTTGCTTGAACCAAAAAGCCTTCCTCTCCTCTGTCCCATCACCAATTGGAAACTATCGCTGTTTCTCCGCGACACTGACGCACAAAGGCACCCGGGTGGCAGCAGCAGACTGGGCATAAGGGCGGCCAGTCGGGCCTCCGGAGGTCTCGCGTCCAGCCGGGGACACCGGACGCTGCAGGGACGTGGGAGTGGGGAGGCTCCTGAGGCTCTGCAGGATGTGTCCCTGGCCAGGAGGGGCCCACGACATTCGCAGACCTCAGCTTGG